CCTTTCCTTGTCTGTTTCTGTGATTTACTGACTTCTTTTATCTTCTTGTAGGATAACTAATACTGAGGACAACGATTGGGCTAAATGGCAATGAAACGAAATAAAACACAAACATCATCGCATGGGCAATGAAGATAATGGTTTTCGCATATCAGTGTGTACTTAAATATGTTGTTCATGCAATGTGTAATATGCAATTTTATGTATAGTCTAGCAAAGACAATTTAATATGTTGTTATTAATATGCAATGTGTTTCTTAGTAACTTTCATAAATAAATATGTTGTCATTAAATTAAATGTGGTGGTGGCAGATGGGTGGTGGGTGGTGGTGGTAGATGGGTGGTGGTGGGTGGCAAATGGGTGGTGAGTAGTGATTGGTGGTGGGTGACAGATGGGTGGTGAGTGGTGATTGGCGATGGGTGGTGGTGGCAAATGGGTGGTGGTTGGTGATGGGTGGTGCTGGCAGGTGGGTGGTTGGTGGTAGTAGGTGGTGGTGGTGACAAGTTCACCATTTAAAAGTGTAACAAATAACGAATAATAATAAGAATAATAATAATAATAAATAAAATAACATAAAATAATTATTATATTTTACTTTTTTATATCCCCCGATTGTTTATTATTAAATATATATATTTTTGCTTATATGAATTTTTTTTTTCCCTTTTCATTAAAAAAAAGAATGTTTATTATTAAATATTTATTTTTTTAGTACACATGTTTATTATTAAATTATAAGTTGTTGTATTTAATTTCAGAACATTAATTTCATTTTTTCTATTAATTGATGCACACAAATTATTTAATAATTGTGTAATTTTTATTCATTTTATTCAAATGAAGGATTTCGTAGACATTTATGAATTACTATTTATTAATTTTTGTACAAATAATTTTTTCAATGCATAATCTTTTTGCACAGATTGTTATAACATTATAACTATGTAATTAAATGATTCCAAAAAAAACCCCTCATTGTTATTCATTACGTGAATAGAAAAGTTTATAACAAAATAACAAAAGTAAAACAATCACAACAAAACTTACAAAATAAATAACCAAAACAAAAAAAGAGAAAAAAATATAACCACCATATCTGTGAACCATTTTACTTGATTTTTAAACAAGTTAAGCATCCTTGTCAGGTGGTGTTGGAGGTGGAGGGAAATGCTGATGGTACAGCTGAGTGACTCGATGGTCAATCAGATCAATACGGTTCCTTGTCAGTTCAGCGCGTCTCTCTGAGTCTACACGAAACTCACCAAATTGAATTAGTGAGTTCTGAGCGGTGGCAATTTCATCGAACTGAGTACCAAATTCATCGAACCGAGTACCTAATGTATTGAGCTGATTAGTCATTTGTTGTTCCCATTGTAGGCGCTGATTGTACCGTTTTTGTTCCAAGGCTAAATAATCGGTCCAGTAATGGGGTTGTTCATTTGGTGGCATGACATTGTTATTGGGTTCTTCCTCATCAGGTATTGGTTCATTTTCAAGATTAATAGAGCCCATCAACGTGTCAGCACCACCAGCTCGGGTCAGTGTACACTCAGAAATTGGTGAACTGATTCTGATCCATCCTTCACCTTCAAGGTTCACATCGTGGGCTTTGAAAATTATGGTTAACAAAGCTCTAAAAGGTAGTGACCGGCCACTCAGAGTATCCAATTTTGCAAGCATCATTTCTTTTAGTAATATAAAGCATAAATCTAATTTTTGTCCAATTTCAAAACAATATAACAAGTAAACTTGAAAAATGAAACACTATTATAATGTCCTTTTTTGGGAGTGATGTTTTCAACTATCCATCGATGGAGAATACGAATGTGAGGTTTTAAATGACTGACTTGTAAATTAGTGCCGCTAAATCGGTTGTTACAAATTGTGATATAAATCTAAGTGACATCATCAACAATTTTTTCTAATGCGGCCTCATTTTGAAAATAACATTGTAAATCTCCTGTTTCGACTCCAATAATTTATGCAAAACGACGGAGAGAGAGTGTGATTCTTTTCCCCTTAACATAAGAGGTAAGACTGAACGGTTCATTTTGTTGGTCACCCAGTGTCAAGTGAACATAAAATAATCATAGAAGACGGGGATATATCTTATTTGGCAAATTATTTAATGGTAACCATCCTATTGTATCTAATTTGCCAAGTAAGAGTGAATCATATTGAGAAGGTAGTTTTACGTTTCTCCCCGTAACAATTGGTCGAGTAATGAAATGTTCATAGACTTGCTCATAATGATATGTTGCAAAATCATTAGTTGGATAGCCATCATGTTGTTGCTGTGGTGGTGGTACAGGGTTTGAGGATTCACCAAGTTCGGGCCTGGTTCGTTTTGTTTTTGGCATGATGACTGCAAAAGTGAAAGAAAATTGTATATTAAAACATATGAGAGGTAAGAAAAATGTATGAAAAATATATCAACCATTAGTACATTTTTTGTGCATACAAACTTATTTTTATGTAAAAAATAAATATAAAAAAATTTGGTGACAAAATTTAATTAGACAGATGCCATAGAAACAAATTTTTATACAAAAAAAAAAAAAAAACATAGGGAATGATATTTCTCATTTATATTGGGTTTGTTTCATTCAGTTTATTATAACTTAGAAACTGATAATCAGAAAAATAAATGATAGTGTGACAAAATTAGAACAGAAATCAGAAAATATAACAGATGAAAATGGAACAGATATGAAACAAAGCCAACAAATACGGAGGTGGAATGGTGACTGGGCCGGGATGACTGGTCGGATGTCCCGTGGGATAACCGGTCGGTAGACCGGTGGGATGACCGCCCGGTTGTCCTCCTCTTCCCCTCCCTCACTCCCTCTGAAGCTAATGTCTGAAGCTAATATTTGAAGCTAATATGAAGATGAAGTGGCATCAAAACTAACCTGTAAATTATGGAAGTGGAGAAGGAGGACCTAATGAGATGGTGGATATGCTCTATTTCTCTAATTTTTGTTTTCTGATGTAACTGGAGAAGGTGTTTCTGAGATGGTGAAGTTGGTGTAGTAAACGGAATGAGATTCAGATTTAATAGAAATGGTGAGGTTCAAAAGGTTCATGCTGTATTTTTTTTATTTACTTTTTATTTGTTAAATATTATTTGTTTTTAATATTATTACTTTTTATATATATATCACGTCCGTGTACTGAGTACACAGCTGCAGTCTCTCATTTTTCTTTACCTCAGTGTTGAACACACAACTATGAAACAATAGGGGGTAGGTAGTAAGTAAGTGAAATTACTATCTTACCATTTATATTTTGTTCTATGTAATCACTTTCCATTTAAGTCAAGAGGGGCATAATAGTCATTTTGTATGTCAATCCCCACAATTATATGAGCTCAACAGGTACAATAATGCCTTGCATTTATGTTGCCACATCTGGATGAAATTCATAACATGTAATAAATGGAAAAAAAATTGATAATGTTTTGTAAGATTTACGTTATGATTTGTATTTTAAAATATTAAATTTAGCAAAATATTTATTCCTTATTTATTAATATGTATTTTCAAAAGTTGTTGATTTTAACAAAATGTTAGAAAAAAATTAAAAACGTATTTTATAAATGAATTGATAGAAAAATTAATTGACAGAAAATAATTGACATAGGTTATTTTAAAATGAAAAAATTATTTCGAAAAAACAATTATTCAAAAAAATTACAAAAAAAAAATAATTGACAAAAAAAATCAATTTTTAATTTCAGTATTTTAAAAATAGTTTAGTTATTATTGTTGATAAAAAATATGGATATCGATATATGAGTTGTGTGTTTGATGATAAATTATTGGTTGAATTAAGTTTTGAAAACTATTTTCAAAACACATCACCAAACAAATTTTCACCTTTCACATGTCAAATCAAACTTTCAAAATTTAATTCAAAATACATCTTCAAAATACAATTCAACACTCTATTTAAAAACCATAACCAAATAAATTTTATACACCCAAATCATAATTCTACAACCCACAAACTCAAAATACAACTCATACTCTCAAATCACATTTACAAAACACAACCAAACGCAGGCTTAGTTTCTTGTCCGTACACAACAAAATATAAATTGAGCATAAAATAAATAAAATAAAAATAAAAAAGGTCACCCTGCATAAAAAGTTAGTAATACTCACAATTCTAGGGAAAAAAAATAAAATTATTATAATTTAATCATAAAATTTTTAGTTTTTCAGATTCCAATTTATAGTCTTTATCAACGAACATGAATTTTTAAAATGAGTAAACAAACTAGTCTTTATCACGAGCCTTTCAAGCCTAACCCTAATAATTATTGGAGGATTCTCTATACGTTTAGTTATGTTAAAAATATTATTTTAAGATTAAGGTTGCGTTTGGTTGTGTTTTGTAAATGTGATTGGAGAGTATGAATTGTATTTTGAGTTTGTGTGTTGTAGAATTATGATTTGAGTGTAGAAAATTTGTTTGGTAAAGAGTTTTGAAAATAGTTTTGGAAAAGAGGTTTGATTTGAGTGAGGACTTGTTGATGTGATATTTGATATGTGATACAAAAATTTACAACTCATAACTAAATATACAACTTAAAATTATTTTAAAGCACATTAAAAAATAAAAAAAATTCAGAATTTTTTTTTTCCAATTATATAAATCAATTGCAAAAAAAAAAAAAAAAAAAAAAAAAAAAAAAAAAAAAAAAAAAACCTAACAAACCAAAAAACCCAAGGATGTCCGGGCGGTAGTCCCTAAGGACGTCCGGATGGTCTTCCCCTGGCCAAAATTTTCACAAAAAATGCGGCTGTAATACAGAGCTCTCTGCAGAAGTTTGGAAAGTTGATTCCAAACATACAACCAAACATCATACTGAAATACACCTGTGAAATTACATTTTGAATTCACAACCATACCGTGCTAGATTTGTGTATTTAAATTTGGTTTATTTTTTTAATTATGAGTTAAAAAGTATGAAAGGAGTTATAATTGGCATAGTATATATGCTTATCTTTGGTATTTGCAGAGCAGAGCACCTCGGAGCTTCTTTATTCCAGAAGAATGGACTCGTACTCTTCTATGCTTGAGAGAACTCGAGCCCCTCAACTCTCTCTCCAACGATTTGCCGTAATTTCAATCTTCGAAAAGCTCCGATCAGCGCCTCCCCATCTGGACTCCGATTCCAATCCCGGAAGAGAAGCAATCACTCAGTGTCTCCACTCCTCCTCTCCCTCCGTCGTCGACCAGTCGGTCCGAGAGCTTTGCCGCCTCGTAAAGGACTCCAAATTCGACCTCTCTCGCGGGTATTTGGAACTTCAGTCCTCCCTCGAAGGTTGCGATTCACGCTTCGTCAACGTCTTCGTTAAAGGGTTAGGATTTCTTGTCAGACATGGCTTTCAAAACAACTCTTCTTCGTTTCGGTTCAATTCTTCGGAGACTCATCCTTTTGTTAAGGTGAGAGTAATTATCATCATATTGTTTTAGTCAATTGAGAATTTATTTGACTCAAATTTGTGTAAAAGCTTTGTTTGATATGAACAACTCCAATGATTTAAGCATGAAATAGCTTTGAAAATTTTGAGTAAACATTTGAGTCTCCCTTGATTTGGGGAAGAAAATTGAGTAAAACCCAATTTGGTATAAGTTTGGGTCAAGGAGTACCCAAATTTAAATTTGATATGGGTTTGAGTCAAGGATTGGAGATGCCTTGAATGGTACATTGTTGAGGATTTTTATTGTTAAAGATTTTGGAATTTGGGTTGATAAGGGTTTTTGGGTAGCAGGTACTTTCCTGTAGAAGGGAGGTTCAATTTGAACTTGTGCAACAAGTGCTTCTATTAATGGCACAGAACAAGCGATTGGGAATGGTGGAAGTTTGTGAATTCTTGAGACCCTTCTTGAACCATTCAATTTTGAGAATACCCGTTTCGAATTCGTTTTCTATGTTCGTAAAGGATTTGATATCATCAATGGCATCCATGTGTTGTTCATCTCCTCTGGAGGCAATGCCTGTTTTTAAGCTGTTGGTGGGATGCCTCAACTATTTTCCTTGCAAGACTGCTGATGTAAGTAGACAAGTAATTTTACTTATTAAAGCATTTATTATGACAACTATAGTTTTTGTTTGGAATGAATGTCTTTAAGTTTAACATATATATAGCTTTCATATAACCTCATTCTTATTAGTTTCTCTTATGTTATATTTTTTGCAGGAGTTTAGGTATATTTATTATTTTGTGGAGTATATTGTAGATGCTTATGTTGTGGTGTTGAGACATTGGGTTGGGATGGGATTGGTATGTTACAAAATCTCATTTCAATGTACTAAGTTTTTTCGACCTCGATATTTTTTGATCTTTCATGCTGTCCCAGGATTTTATTGCCAAGTTCAAACATATGCTGTTATTAGAAGTTTCATGTTGTTCTTGGGACCCATCCATCTTAATTGGTTTAATTAATGTCAGCAGCTTGTTCATGAGGCTCAACTATTTGGTGTGGAACTACTAGAGACTATTTTTTCATTGTCTCCCGCTCATCACAAGCACTCTGGTGGGGTTGAGCCTATTGTGGAAGTATCAAAGTGCTTAGTATGTGTCCAAAAAGAGCTTGGCTTGAGTTATATTCCTGAACTATCAACAGTAATATTATCCTTGCTTGTTACTCTCATTCAAACAGAGCTTGAACATGAACAACTATCCATATTGAAACTGCTTCTCTTCCTCTTGAAGTGGAAAAGTGAAAATGGTATGGTCATTTAATCATGCCTTAATGTTTCTTTGTACCTCTTTTACTTACACGGGAATGGGCCAGAAGGCTATTAGTTTGATGCATCGCTTTTAGTTCTCATACTCTTTGTTTTCTGGTCCAAATTTACTTTTTATATAACATGAAATCTACTACTACTATTATTACCATATGCCATTGAATTGTAATTATGTTCTTAGTAATTTTGTAAGGATGCATAATGACCACTATCTTGAAGTTCATGTGTGTTTAATTTTGTTGTGAAGTTGCTTTTCTTGGTTCACACCGAGTGCATGACTGGATGTTTTTTGTCATTGCTTTATTTTATGTTTTTTTCCTTTCAAATTTCACTACATTAACAAAATGCAGTCCTGTACTTGCTTTTGCAGATGCAGTTAATTTAAACGAAGAGCTTTTATTCGTTTTTCCTGTCATCAACCTTGTCTCATCTCCTTCTAAATCCGTTAAACAAGCAGCAATCGATTTGCTTTCCATTTTGGAAAAGCTTTTAATAAATTTGTTAGTTTCACCAAAGAAGGAACTGATCATTCAAGGGAGATTTCCATCTATTACCAGACCTGAAGACATTATATTTAGGCTATTGCGACATTTGTGGTCTCAGGTTTGTTTCCATTACTTACAATTTACAGCTGAAAATTATATTTTCACTCCCCCACTTCCTGATCAACATTCTTGTGATGGCTCATGATTGTAAGAATATACAGTTACTTATAAAAACAAAATATAAGAATTAATTCTGAATTATGTGGCTGCTTAATTTGGTGGTGGTTGGATTGAATAGTGTTAGTGCTAACATGTGATCTGTTTGTAATAACTCATTAGTTCTTGATAGAATTTATGTTTATCAATTATATATATGGTAATAGCAGCTATAAACAAATTGTTCCATTACAATGTCTGCTCCCAGAAGGAATCTACTAAGTGGAAATACAGCTCTTATTTTCAAGAAATCATTGGCATCCTCTGATGTTTGGAAAACCATTGTTGATTTTATCATATTTAAAAATTTTGGTTTATTAGTTGAGACGTATGACTTTGTTTAAGATTTGTTAACTGTCAGCATTGTTATGCCCTTGCCCCACGTATTTGGTGTAGGCAGCACACACGTGTTCACTGATGCTGTGGACAAGCATGAAACTTCAGAAGCCTTGGTTAGTTTAATTTTTTTTATAGTTTTAATTTGTTAGGCAAGAAGCCATGCTCAGGATACCTTTTATCATTTATGATATGGTACTGGATTACTTATCAGGGGAAAAAAAAAAAAAACCTCTATTAGTCCACTGCTGCAACTAAGGCCTCGTTTGGCATAATACAAAAAATCTAAAAAGTCAAAAAGTCACTATCCTATTTAAGTCACATCATCTTTCTATCATATCACTTCAAACCCAACCCATATTTCACGTTTTTTCGTAAAAAGTTAAAAAGTGCACTTATTTAGATCATTCCAAACAACCCCTAATATTTGTCATCTGATAAAAAGAACAAATAGTCTGGCTTCTTAATCTCCTTGCGCATTGCATACTTACATGCACACTATTAGGTGAATATGTGGCTATCCTCAATCACATTTTATTTTTGTCAATTCCTCATCGTCAAGTCTTCTTCTTTTGTTCGGTCAATCAATAGGTTCTTCCCATTTTTGTGCCTTACTGCTAAATTAGCTAGTGCCCTATTGTATGTTTGAGTTTGGTATGGTGGAGCATAGAGTGTCAATTTATAACATTAATTTGTCAGTCCTTGAATAGCTGCTTGAGGAAACAATGTTGATCCAATGAGGTCAGAAACAGGGATTTTGTAAATAGTGGTCAGGGATATGTTACTTTGTACATGGGCCTAATATTTTGCTTTTATTTTTTCATATTCAGGATCAACCTTTTCTACCCAGTTCTTTTCTTTTGAATTTTGCTTCTAATGATGGAACTGATCTCAACAATATGCACAACGTACCAAAAACATGGACTTCCCTTATGAGAGAATACTCTATGTGGATTCTTGAAAGACGAAAGTCCTCACTACCTATCTCTCGGTCTCAAGAGATCTTTCTTGCAGGTAAATGCTATCATGTTATTTAAATAGAGATTTTTAATTTGCACTAACTGGGATTGGTTTGGTGTTTTACTTCTTTTGGGGTTTGAAGTTTTTTTTTTTAAAACATCATATTAATTCTGTATTGATATTTGTTTTATTGTAGAAATGCCTTTATTACTAAGTGCAATTGCCAGCATTTTGGTCATGCATGGTAAACTGGGGAGCTCAGCTGTAGAATTCTTGGCTGTTATTGGCGTTATGGATCCTAAGCTTGGTGTTCCATTGTTGCTAACCATTTTATTCTACACTAATATATTTTCTGGGACAGGCAAAGATACTAATTTCCATAACATGTTGGTAAGTTTGTAATTTGTAGCTATATCTCATTCCTCACGTACTTAATGCAAGGCATACAGGCTTTTATTTGAGTCAATTATAACTGTCATTTTAATAAAATTTCTGTAACTATGGTTGCAGCTAAAACTTTTGGGAATGCTCCCATCACTTGCTTCGCATCCTGTGATGACACCATTCATAGTTCAAACTATCTTGCCCATGCTTCAAAAAGATGCAAAACCGTATGTTAGCTATGGAAATTATCTTTGTGTGGGTGGATAAATTTTTTATTTACTATGTATATATTATATACTATTCTGGTGTTGCCACGTTGATATTGTCATGTTGTTTTGGTGTGTATTTATTGTTAACTTCTAATTCTTTTAATCTCTCATAAGTTGGCAATAATATAATTAATTGTTTTCTATGCTTGCATTGCCACTTGAAAATATTCCCAGATCATAGCGATTTATGTTTTGGAACGCATGTTAGAAACATGAGATTGTTGTTTGAAAATATAAATTCGGCATTTATTGCAATTCAAACATTGTTTCCTATGTGCTTCCTCAGTGTTTTTCTATAAGAAAATAAAAGAAAACATGAAATAATAAAATAAGAAAAACATGAAGAACAAATTAAAATCTACAAAGATCTACCAAAAAGGGCCATAATGCGCAACAGTACCTCAATTTATGTAGGATACACATGTTCGTTTACAATTAACATACTTCTAATGAATGAACTTGAAGTGTGCTGCTTCGTGCTTATAAAACTGCATAAAAATCTTAAACCAGTCAGATTCCTTTATGAGTTTTGCTTCTGCAAATGACCGTTACAACGTTAAAAACTGCTGTTCAACATTCATGCCACAAATTGTCTGCCTACTTTTGGAGTTGCACTCTTTGTTTTGTTAACACTTTCTATAAATTCATCAAATAAATTGTTTTCTTTAAAAATTAGTTATCTTTTCTTCACATTTTTTCTGAGCACACAGTCATCTTAGTGAAGGTTATACGTGTATGTTTGATTTGTGGCTTTGTTTTCCTGTCGTGATGGTTATTTCTTTTTTTATTTAGAGTGTTGTATGCTACTGCTACACGCTTGCTTTGTAAGGCCTGGGAAATCAATGACCGTGTCTTTGGGAGTTTGCAGGTAATATTTTTGTTTTGCTTCATCTCATAGTTTGTGATGCAATTTAATTGTTTCCATAATATCTGTTAAAGTTGGAAGATACCATGGAAAAAAGGTATAAAAATCCAAGATTTACAAATTTGGATTGTAATATATGGAATAGGTAATTTATGACATTGAGGTTTTACCCTTTTTAAAAAATAAAAAAATTATTAGCTACTTGGAATGGTGCTATCCTGGTACCCATACCATGAAATTAAACTATTTTTTGACTTGTTTTGGGTATACGTTTGATCTTTAGTTGGTTACAAGTTACAACTTAGTGTCGGTGGTATTATGGTATACATGAATCATGATTACCTCATCCATCTTGCTGCACATTGCTTGGAAATTTAAGCTGTTCCATGGATAAATGTGCAACCAACCATATTTGATTATATGTAATATCACGAGGAAACTGATCTGTGGCTTGTAATACTCCTGCAAGATTTATATAGGAGTTTTTGTTTTCTGTTTTGCTGATACCATTGTATACTTTGCGTGTACAAGGTTGCCGCCCCCATCTAGCTCTCTTTTTTTAACACAATTACATTTACTTATAAAAAAAAAAGAGAAAAAAAATCAAGTAGCTCGATCAAAAGTGAACTTAATTGCATGTTTAAGAGTACAAACCAGTGTAATTTTAGAGGAACTGCTAAAGTTGTAAATTAAGTAATGCCTCACCTTGTGAAAAATACACACTGAAACCCTGACTAGAAGAATATAACTTTACTGCCGAGGTACCCGTCGCTGTTGCTTTCTTCATCACCATGTCCTGTTTCTTTTGATCCTCTTCTCGATTTGTCTTCCAATAATTGTTGCCTTATTCTTGATGTCAGGGAGTATTACATCCAAAGGGTTTTACTCAATTCATGTCTGAGAGAAATATCTGTATAAGTATGGCTGCTTCCATTCGGGATGTTTGCAGAAAAAATCCTGACAGGGGTGTGGACCTGATCCTGTCTGTTTCAGTAGGTATCCCTATGATTTATTTATTTATTTTTTAATATTTTGGTTGGTTGGGTGGGTGGGGGGTGGAAGAGGCTATGCATGCTGTTTTGAGCTCTCTAACTCTCCTTTGAAATCAACAGACTTGCATTGAGAGCCAAGATCCTACAATTCAAGCTCTTGGTTTTGAAAGCCTTTCCCATCTTTGTGAGGCTGATGTGATTGGTATGCTATTGTGTTTTATCTACAGATTTTTCTCTGCTTTTATTTGTTTCATAAATACAGTCTGAACTTGAAATTGTTGTTCTATCAGGTATTTTCTGATTATAGTTAAATAACTTGTCATACTCTGAGTACAACAACAATAACCCCCAAATAGTACACATTAATGTGTGTTTGGGAGGGAAAAGATTAGGTAGACACCTAACTTTTGGCATAGTGCACAAAGTGATTGTCCTGAGACTTGAACCCATAACCTCAAGGTTATTAGGCCAAGATTTTACCATTGAACCAATGGTCAAGGTTGTCATACTCTGAGTGACAGCTGAACAATAACAAAAACTTGGACAAGCATACTTCTCTTGATTCTTGTTTAATTATTATTTCTGCTTTAAATGGTAAAACATGGTTGAGAGGCTTTGACTTGAATTAATGTATCTGCATTTTGAAAAATTTGAAGCATATTTGAAAACTTTTCAGTTTAAATTTTACATTTAAAATTAATTTTTTTTTCTTTTCAAATTTAATGTAAAAAATTGTGTGTAAAATTATTCATATATGGAAGCTTTAATTGTGTGTGTTCATTAGTATGTGTTACAGTAATAAGGTTGTGTTGTTTCCCAAATTTGAGATGGAAGCCACTCTGAGCTGAACTTTGGGCCCCTCCATTTCCATTATTCATCTTCCATCTCCACTGTTCTTCTCCCTATGCACTAGGGATTTCCTTTGTTGCTGCTTTCCTCATGTAATAAGGCATGAAAACCCAAGATTCGACAAGTTTTGTCTCACTATGCTAACAATGGACCTTATTAGTGAGTTCGCTGAGTGCCTTTGAGAGACCATTCAGAGATGATGTCTCCAAGAGCTAATATCGGAGAAAACTGGACAATAGTTTTCCCATATGAAATGTGTACTAGATTTTCTTTTGACCTGTTGGAACTATGGCCTAGGCACTACAAGTAATCATTTAAGCAAGTAATTTCTATTACAATATAAAGTTAATGCCGGCTTTCAGGAATGTGGTTTTCTAATTTCTTGTCATTTATGAATTAGACCTTTTGATTAACTTCAAGTAATCTAATGACATGCTGATATTAAAAACATGCTGATATTAAATACATGTCTTTGTCTCTATTATATATTCTCCAGATTTCTATTCTGCTTGGGATGTTATCTCAAACAATGTGCTGGACTCCTCAGGAAACCCACAAGTTGCTCACTGGTTAGTATGCCAGACTTGCTGTGTCTGATTTGTTTCACGGAATTGTTTTCAACCTTGAACTTTGAACTTTAAAATGTCCACGTATTCAGAAGCAAATAGGAAAACTCTGATGCTTGTATTAGCTGTTCTTCAGTTGTACCCAATACTGTATGCATGGATTTGGAAGTACTATAACCGGCCTTCCAAAGTAACTGGATTGCAGACTGTGAATAGCATCATATTCTATTTCAATATTAGTGTTATTTGGTTCAATGTTTTTTGTAAAACCGAATTTAATGGAGGGTGGAAGTGATCTGGAGTTACTCCTCCTTTCCTCCTCTTCCTTAAATTATAGGGAAGGTAAACATAATAGTTTAGTGAACTTGCTTAATGACTTGGTTTGAAGTTGAGACTGCAACCGTTTCTGTAGTATCCATTGATTTCAGTGACCAATTTGTAAAAGAATAATTTTTGCTTGTTTTATTGGTGAATGAAAATAGGATTGCAGAAACATATGTAAAATCAATAACAATGTGTTGAATTTGTCAACTTTTCCTTTGGAGAACCCTGATGGGCAGAGAGCTCCTTTGTGAATACCTTCTTAGCCTTTTTCTCCTTAGCAAGTATTTATTTTCTCTCTCTCTCTCTCTCTCTCTCTCTCTCTCTCTCTCGATAAGTGCCTAAGTACTTCTTCCTTGAAATAGTGGTGTTGTTCTTGCTGATGCTTAATTTTGCTGCAAGGTTTTTCTTGCTGATCATGTGCCCACAAAATCCCCTGTTATTTGTTCATTTAATGACAGATGCTACTGTGATGTGGATATATTGCTTAATAGTTCTTCTATCATCTGTTACTGTTCTTACTTTCCTTTAAAATTCTCTAAATTTCATATTATGGGCAGTGCATGTCTTCTTTTAAGATGGGGTGCAGTGGATGCTGAAGCATACCGTGAAGCTGCGAGAAATGTTTTGCAAATATTGTGGGATGTTGGAACCTCCAGACATTCTGGTCATGGGTCTCTATGGGCAAAGGCCCGGGTCTCTGCTTACAATGCATTAACTCATTATGAGGTCAATTTTGTCAAAGTCAATAACATACCTATTGGCTCATTGTTCCTTGCAGTTTTGCTTACTTCTGTCTTGTGTTTTATTTGAGCTGGTTACTGATTTTATGTTTTTTACTTCATAGCGTTATGTATTCTCAGGTAGTACACATTCAAAAAAGCATTCCAGATTTTAAGAAAAGGAACATGGAACTGCTTACTTCTGAGACTGATCCTGAAGTACTAAGGGCCATGGAAGTATTTGAAGTCAAGATTATTAGATATGAGCACATGTAAATAAACATATTTATTAACATCTTTTGTCTGCTTCACATGTTTGGAAATGTTTGAAGTGGCTAACTTGATAACCTTTTGACATTTTTCTTCAGCACACGGCGCAGATTTGTAAAGGAGAAAAGAGTCGCTGTAAACAAGATTGAGAAGTTGCTAGATGTTTTCCCTCAGGTTATTTTTGCTTCAGGTAATAAACAGATTGTTGCTTTGTAATCCTTTGGTTGTGTCTTTCTGAGAAAATGCTGGTGTTTTTTCCAGTCTCTGTTTTGTTGGAGATAAATTTCAAACTAAAAATAAAATTTCTTGTTTGTCATCTTTGTGACCTCTTACGATCTTCCTTCTGTGTCTCTTGTTAAGTCTCTTGGAACCCCGCATTGGTGGGACAAGTACCAGCAAGTAACCACACTTTCTGCCTCTAGTTCTTTGTTTTTTGATCGGCAACAAAATGAATTTTATTGAGAAAAAGAGGAAGAAAAACAAAACAGGACAGGGAGTCCTCTACAAGCAAACTTGTGACTGTGTACAAAACAAAACAAGAACCAAGTATCGCATACCAACACCCAGTCTCTAGAAATAAAAAATGTTCCTCGGTCATTTTAGTCTGGCACAATGTTTGAAGTACATGAATGTAAGAAAATACCAGAATGAAATATAATATTTTAGAAAAAGAAGACCTCCAGAAGAGATTCTAAATATAGAAAAGATGTGTCAAGTGAATAACTTCAGGAAAATCAGAAGAATGGGGCGTGGTTGATGTTATTGATTCTGAAGTAGAAACTTTATGATTTTGGTGAGACTCACATGTATGTAATCCCGATGCCCAGGTATTTATATGCATTTCATTTGCAGGAAATACCACTGGAGTTAGTCAGTTACCTGGCGCAGCTCTGTTTTGCCTTTCTTTGACTCCTAAAGACATGACCAAGGGGCAGCAAAAGTAAGATCACTATACCAATGCTTTATGCTGAAATCTTTTCATAGGGCTTTCCATACTTCTAATTCTTCATTAATTAGAGTTCAGGGACTGCAAGACGTACATGCTAAATACGAGAATGCACTTGTGGAGATAGCTGCATCTTTGCAGCTATCGAGAAACATCCTGATTGCACTTCTTTCACTGCAATCTTGGAAACCCTTCATGCAACGTTGGTTGAGGGCTTGTGTCACCTTCCTTGATGCTAAGGCGCCATCCACTGTGTTGGATAAAACATCTAAAGCTGCTAATGGTATTCTGAAGGTTTGTTACCCTTCTAAAAGTAATGTCTGTACTGCGCTTTAGTCACATCCAGCCCAATTTCCACGTATAATGCGTAAAGAATGATATGACACTTTATCCTTGCTCATCTTTCAGATAATAAAACGGCTTGCAGAGGAATCAATTCCTAGATCTGCAGAAAACATTGCACTAGCTTTGGGTGCGCTTTGTGAGGTAAGAATTTCAATGTCATTATTTTTCCATTACAGTTAAGTTAGTGGGCATATGCTACTAATCGACTTTCGTGCTTTGGGAGGATTGAAGAGGGCCAAAGTGCTTTGGTATTGCGCCGTCTTTGCAACTTTTTGGGTTTTATGGTTGGAAAGGAATGCATGGGTTTTTGAAGATAAACCTCGGGTGGTGGATGTTTTGTGGGATAAAGTTTGTCACTTAACTTTATTTTGGGCTTCAGTGAATCCTCTTTTTTGGGGGATTGCACTGTTTTTTCTAGTTAGAGATTAGTTGTCGGTATGTGACATGTAGAGTTCTGTTGTTTGTAGTCATTTGTTTTGGGTTTTGTTTTTTTTCCTTTATTTTTCTTTCTTGTAGAGGATGCCTTATCCTCATTTCTTATTTTTGATTAATCAATACAATTTTGTTGTTGATCCAAAAAAAAAAAAATGTAACCTACTCCACTGTAAGAAATAATGACCTTCAGAATAAGTTGCAATGATCAAATTGAGTTACCTGGTTATTAGCTAATAAACATTACCTAGACTTAATTGATTGAGTTTGCTTGCAAGTCATGCGCCCCAAACTTTGTCCACTTCATCAATTCTGGTGATTCACCTCTGTTGGAGATTGTTAATCTTAAGTAGTGATATGCTTGTAGTTAATTTAGATTCCCCATTTAACATGCCTTGCTCAGTTCAGTCCTTAGAAAAACTTTGCTATTTCCAGGTCTTGCCTCCATCTGCCCATGCTGTTAAATCAACTGCTTCAAAATTCCTGCTTGATTGGCTGTTCCAGTATGAGCACGAACATCGCCAGTGGTCAGCTGCTATTTCCCTTGGATTGATCTCAAGTTGCTTGCATGTGACTGATCACAAGCAAAAATTCCAAAACATCGAAGCACTTATTCAGGTACACAGTTCTGGTGCCCTACTACTTGGAACATGTGCTAACAAACATTACCTAGACTTAATTGATTGAGTTTGCTTGCAAGTCATGCTCCCCAAACTTTGTCCACTTCATCAATTCTGGTGATTCACCTCTGTTGGAGATTGTTAATCTTAAGCAGTGATATGCTTGTAGTTAATTTAGATTCCCCATTTAACATGCCTTGCTCGGTTCAGTCCTTAGAAAAACTTTGCTATTTCCAGGTCTTGCCTCCATCTGCCCATGCTGTTAAATCAACTGCTTCAAAATTCCTGCTTGATTGGCTGTTCCAGTATGAGCACGAACATCGCCAGTGGTCAGCTGCTATTTCCCTTGGATTGATCTCAAGTTGCTTGCATGTGACTGATCACAAGCAAAAATTCCAAAACATTGAAGCACTTATTCAGGTACACAGTTCTGGTGCCCTACTACTTGGAACATGTTGCTGTGAAGAAGTTTGCTGAATCAAATTATGGTTTTCAAAACATCATCGCGTACCTTAAACTGTGGTCTAAAATCAAATTATCTTGATGCTTTGTTTCATCAAATTTCATGGCTTAATTGAGAATATGGTCCTGGATAAACATTTTTGGTGGATGTGTAATATTTTTAGTGCTTTTATCTTGTGTTTCATTCCTCAATTGTCTTTTAAACTTTATCTCCAATTGTCTCCTCATTTCTGGGGATAATTTTTGTTGTAATAAGAGAAGTTCTTAAAACATTTCCTTGCTAATCTTTTCTCAACTCAGAAATCAGCCATAAAGCAGGAAGGATTGGATTTTTCTCTTTTCTCTTTTCTCATCTCCTGCTGACATACCCTATAGGCATGTTGAACATAGGACTACTAAAAGAAATGTGATAATGATATGGAAATAACTTTACATAAAAAATGGTGTCTAATTTATTGTTTCATGGTCTGTGCCTTCAGGTTTCATCTTGTAGCAGAAGCACCCTTGTAAAAGGAGCTTGTGGAGTTGGATTGGGATTTTCATGCCAAGATCTTCTTACCTGGGTTGAAGCTTCTGATGACTCCGACTTGGAAAAAGAAAACTGTAAGATGCAGGAAGTAGATTTACTTGGAAAAATCATTAGGGCCTTGTCTCAGATGATAAGTCAGTTTACTCCATCTTCATCTGATCTTCTAGAAAGTCTCTCTGTATATTTCCCGCTGGGTACAGATGATACTGATTCATATGTAACTTATGAGTCATTGGATAAGGACTATAATGATTTGGAGGAAGATATATGGGGTATTGCAGGACTTGTCCTCGGTCTGGGGAGTTCTATTGGTGCAATATACAGATCTGGGGCCCATGATGTTGTGCAAAAAATTAAAGCCTTTATCTTATCATGGATTCCACATTTGAATCATTCAGTTCAAAACTCTTTTAGCAGTGAAGGTTTGGATATAGTATTATCTGTGGGATCTTGTCTTGCACTTCCGTCCATAGTGGCATTCTGCCAGAGAGTAGAACTGATGTATGATAATGAACTCGACCAGATAGTGAGTGGCTTTAGGGAGCTCATTTCGGAACTAGTGTCTGTTAGGAAATCAGGCATCTTCCATCAGAGCTTGTTGATGGCATCATGTGTTGGAGCAGGAAGCTTACTTGCCTGTATTTTGAATGAAGGTGTGCACTCTTTGAAAGTTGAAGTCGTAAAAGATTTGTTGGCCCTGTTTCGGAAAAGTTACTCTAATCCTCACCCTTCTCTTACCCATTTTGGTGGGATGCTTGGTGTTGTTAATGCATTAGGAGCAGGTGCTGGGACTCTGGTTCCCAATTACCCTTTAAAGACTTTGGGCACCACTTATGACCAAAAGGTGATTATATTTTGCTGCATTACCAAACTCCGTGTTTCTTAAAGTTTGATGATTTGAATTTTTTTTCTCCTCTTTTTTTTTAACAAGTATTAATTGTTCTTTACAGGATTCTTTTTACATAATGGGTCCTTTACTTTCATGTCCTGTTTTGGAGTCCCAGTTGACATCATTGGTGCAAGAGATGTTTCTTGTCGCACAAAATTCCGATGACCATCAACTGCAACAATATGCAGCATGGGCAGTTTCATTTCTTAGACATTGTTTGTGGTTCAGAGAATTGCAAAACACTGACAGTAGTTTCCCAAGTAATGCAGCTGGTCAAAAATCTGTATCTCAAAATTTTCCCAAGGACAATGTAGTCATGGGGCTCTCTTCGTGGCTAATGCATCTGAACTATCCTGGGGTATGTCTCTAGTTGGATTATGAGGAAATGCTTATTGAAGCACTCTATTGCTCATAACAAAGCACTTTATTCTTATATAGAAGAAAATATTTTATCGTGCAATTATGACTGACACTCTTTAATGTTACATATATCTGCACTGCAGTAGAACTAGAGGCGAACTCGGGAGCTTCTGATTAATTTTCTTAGGCTCTTTATTGATTTATTTATTATTTTTATGTCTCTATAGCCAAATTGTCTTTTATAAGGTTTATATTGACTTATGTGGAAAGATGATTTACTTGTGTAACCTATTTAAGCTGACTAGTATTCATGATGTAGATGTGAATGTCCATGTATTGACTTAGTTTTGGGTAATTTATTTGTGGATATGCTGCTCCTCCATAAACTTAAAGAGATGATTCAAGATTGCTGGTTCTTTTAAGGAAACTACATTATTAACTGGTTCAACTCTCAATGAGAAACTATTTTCCTTTTCACTTCTTATGCAGAGTATTGAATTAAAATTCTCTGTCAACCCCCCATGCCTGTGGTGGATGCATACAAATCTCTCCTTTCTAATCTCTTCTGTTTTTTCTATTTTACTTTATAAAATTCAGGCAGGTACCATTTCACATGTTTACACAGTTGCAACCGTTTTACGTTGCCTTTCACAAGCTCCCAGACTGCCAGCGTTGGATTGGGGAGCAATCATCAGACGGTGCATGAAATATGAGGGTCAAATTGCCGAGTCATTGTCTCCAGATTTAGCTTTTAAAAGTGGAATCCTTAGGGAGGAATGCCTGCAGTTGTCTTTAGCTCATGCAAACCAATTTGATCCACTCCTAAGCTTTCTCGATGAACTGTCTGACCTGTCCAGGTTCAGGACACTTGAGCTGAATCTTCAATCATGGTTTCTCTCTCATCTGGCAGACCTGATAAAAATATTCTCGGGTTCTAGGCTTGAGAAACTATTTGATGACGTGGCTAACTTTTTATCTTCTTTACTCTCTGGAGAAGTTTGTACCATAGAACAGAAAAGCTTATTGCGGGTTTCGTGCTGGAATGGTCTGTATCCTTGTATGGAAACTTCTCTTGACACTCGAGAGTATGTATCAAACATGGAAAATTGCATGGAGGTCCTCTTTTCTTCATTGCCTGTATTGCACTCAGATGCTATTCCAGGTATGGTGCAGGTGCATTCAGTAGAGTGGTCTGCAGCAGTTAGATGTCTTGCAAAGGCTCGACAGGGTTGGTTATTTACCCTTCTACAGGTATTCACTACTGTGATTATATTTGTTACATGGATATTTTTTTTTTTTTCTAAATTTGTGATTTAAATTTACTCATTCAAAAGGCTGATGTCCTTCAGAAATTTGGTGTCTTCACATGATTTGCAACACTCTGCTCTCTCTCTCTCTGATAGACATCTTAAAAATATCATATTCTCCTGTGTTTTAGTGGAATAGTTCTCTTACAAATTGGTTGGTAGGTATAGGGGTGCACACAGGTTGGGTTGGTTGGTTGCAGTCTGTACCAAAGCCCCAGAAGGAGCCCACCCAAGTCGGTTCCAGAAAATTGAACCTTGGACCGAATTATTATATTTTATTAATCATATACTTGAAGTACAACATAATCAATAGATTAAAAAATAATGGCTACTTAATTAGGCTGGCCTCATGAGTCTGTTTATTACCTGTTAGTAGGCTTAATTAAAGAGAGGCCTAGGGTGAATCTTACACTGAAGGTAGAGGGAGAGCGATGTAAATCTTTCAAAATCAAGGTGAATAAGGCCCAAGCTGAATCTTTCACAATCTGGTATCTGATGTCATCTGTGTTCTTCAAATCTGGGAAGCATAACCAGTAAGCACAGTAAAACCAAATCAATCAGCTTGAATTGGTCAGTTTCAGCCCTGGTCTTAGTTTCACCAAGTCATGCACTGCCATTGGGTATTTTACGTTGCCTATGGGCTGCACATGGAAAAGCAAGATTGAGTTGTTGCTGGGCATGATGTGTTTCTGCAGGAAATGAATTTCATTATTCCCTATATATTGTACACACCATAGCTTTTGAGCTTTCTGCTAGTTCAGTAACTTCAACTACTGCATGCCCTGTACAGGTTTCAGAAGTAAATTTAGTGGAAGGAGATGGTGAATTCTCCAAGGTAGTGAAAACGATGCAAGCAAAGGCCAGGCTAGTTCAGATTGGTTCCATCCCACCGAGTGAGCTGGGAAAACTGAAAGCTTATCTATTGAACACTAGATCAGATGGTTAGTTTTTCACAGAATTGTAACCTAGCTGTAATTTAGGGAAACTATATTTAATAATCAGTAAATTCTGAAACTGGAATCTTTAAATTTTATTTCCTCACCGAGTTAAAAGGAGCATTATTGTGTTTCATTCCTTTATAGCCAAAAACTTCACTTTCAGAGTACATCTTGACTTTTTATCTTTGCAGGTATTTGGGATGTTCTGGTAGAAGTTGTAGCAGCTCTGCAACATGTTGAAGGAAGTATAAAAAAACAGTGGCTTGTTGATGCAGTGGAAATTAGCTGTGTAACAATTTATCCTTCCACGGTAGGCCCAATTCTTCTAATATGTTATCGTTACTTTTTGAAGTTGATGTGGATTCCTAGTCTGTTTACTCTGGCACAAATGAATGATACATGGTAGTATTTTCTATCAGAAATCATGTATCTAGTGCTGAAAATAAGTGCGTTGGTAATTGAAAACATGCTGCCTTCATCTCCCAATTGTTCTGTTCAATTTAATGGGATGTTAGAGTGTAGTGAAGTCTCACATTGCCCAACTATGAAAGTAATGTGCACTATATAAGAGTGAGGGCATCCCCACTAAATAACTAGCTTTTGGGATTAAGTTCAATCAGGGATAGGTAGGGTGCGTATCCCTAGCTTGCATGTGGTGGGTGCTTCCAAGTGAGGGAGGGAGGGTGTGATGTGAAGTGTCACATTGCTTGGTAATGCAGGAGATCTCAAGATTGGTACCTCCTTTTTTATCACCCACTACACACTGTGTAGGGCTTCTAAAGTAAAGTGTAGTATATAAACGTGAGGGCACTCTCACCCTAACAACTAACTTTTGGGGTTGAGTTTTATGTCGTTAATATGTTCATAGCAGTTTCTCTTTGGGGCTTGTTGGCTCCTACTGCACTTTTACAATACCTTGGCTTCTTTTTTATTGGTGTCATTGAAGTCTTTCTATTGAAAAACTAGGTTATGAGTTATCAACTGGCTTAGATTTTTCAGATGAATTTTAGTGGGTTACACCTGTTAACAGCTTGAAAACTTCATTGCACTTATATATTTATCCTGGGTTCCCCTGCAGGCTCTGCGTTTCGTTGGTATGCTCTGTGGTAGCTGCTCCAAGTATATGCCTCTCCTAGTTGTGGACCGACACACGGTGTTGAGTGACCTACCGGTTACCCTTTCATCTCTTTTATCAGATAGCAGCTGGGGGTTGGTTGCAGAGTCTGTGGCTTCGTATTTGTGGGCATCCACAGAGAGAATTTATGATTGGGCCATGCGTATAGCACCCAGTGATGATTCACCTATCCTGCAGCCTATTGACAAGAGTGAGAATGTTTCGGCTTTTTTTCTATTGCAGGTGATGCATCGTACCTGTGTTTCTTTGAAAGATTATTTGCCTCCTGAGCAGCAGTTCAAGCTTGCCAACTTGGTGGTCCCTTGAATTCTGGGACATACGTTGAAATGCTTGCGACTTTGACAAGGCTTGAACGCATGATGTTTGGATTAGTTGCAGCTTGTAACATTTTGTTTTTTGTATTGTAGTTTCAGAGGAATTTCATTTTCTACGTGATGTAACTTTGTTAGCAGCTGAAATTGTTTCTAATAGGAAAATTAATCTAATATCTCATCTTGACGTTGATTAACTGTTTAATAAAATTTGAAATTTAGGATAGAATAACATTCTATGACGAATGAGATTAGATTTCAATGTTATGTTTGGATGGTAAACTTAAGAAGCGAAATGAGAATCTCATTGTTATGGGTTGCATCGAGATGTGATTTTTTTCATTTTATTCTCAAGGTGTGACCTCCCGTGGAAATTTCACGTTCTTTGAAGAATTTAAAATATTGTCTCAAAAATCTCAAAAAAAAAAAAAAAAAGAAAGAAAAAAAAAAGAAAGAAGAATTTAAAATATTTGAGTGAAAATATTTAAAAATTTTGGTATATGGTTCGTTTCTTAGATTCTTAAATTAATTGTTGTCTCAATTTAATTTTTGATTTTTTTTTTTCATTTCTGAAATTATAGGCCGTGGTACTGTGTGAAATTAATTTAAAAAAAGTAAAATAATTTATATTTTGAACTCTAAAATAGGATGTATTTTTCATTTGTGTCTTAAATATAGTCTTGAAACTTGTTAATTTTTTCCAATTTAGCAACGACGGCCCCAGTCAAAGAGCATTTTTAGTATTGGGACAAGTCATGTATATAGGATTTATTAGTAAATATTTTTTTAAAAAAAGAGTCTGTTAAAAATAAATGAAAGTTTTAAAAATATTTTAATTTTAATAAAAAGTGTATTTAGAGTTTTTCGTTTTATTTATTTTGAAAGATTTTTAATTTTTTTTTTTGTACTTTCATGCAATTGATAACTGTCAATAGGGTGTGTGCAGTGTGGTTTGGGTGTACAAATCGAATGGCGGATTGACGAATTAGTGGATTAGCAAATTGTGGTTTGGGTAGTTTTGGACGAATTGATGGATTAATGAATATTCTAACCAATTATCAAATATTTGCATAATATATAATATTAATTTACATAATATTATATATATATATATATATATATAACACAAAGTAATTTTATATAATATCTTTAATATATATAACTACTAATTTGTAACAAATTTCACATTTTAAATCTCTCTCACACTCATTTTTACTTTAATATTTTATTAGAGATTAAAATATATATATATATATATATATTAACTAAATGGAGTGAAATGGTTTAAAAAATGAATTATAAATTTTAAAATTTAATATGTAATTAATAGATAAAACGGTACAAATTAATATAGATCGATATAATTTTAATGAATTAGGCGATATGTTGCGCCGCTCTAGTAGTCAATATTGTAGGACGTTTGATCATTAGGTAATTTGTTCATCCAAAACCCTAGATTGTTCAAAATTCCCCCCCTATAAAAGGTATACAGGGTTCCTGATTAAAAGGGTCTAGTCTGGCTTTGTGTTCTTCAGATATCAAACAAACTGTAACTGAGAAGCTGAAGAGATCGAATTTCTATATTCTCATATCGTTTGGTCTGTTTGAAATTTGATTTATAAGGCTTAACCTAACCTAGTAACCTGGTATGTTTTTCTGTTTTAGTCTGTAGAGTAGCTTCATCATTTTGTTAGTAACCGATGAATCGAACATCGATCAATGCTATTAACCAAATCATCCAAAGATCAATCTACTCTGCACCGACTTCAGAACCAGTTCTCAACACTAATTTTCTATCGAAATTGTCATTCTCATCCTCATCCTCATCGTCATCGTCATCGTCGTCAATTTCATCTCTCCAAATCCTAACAGATTCTTAGACCAAATCAATCTCAAACCCACTTTACAGTTTCCTTTCCCATACTCAAAACCCTAACAATATAATCGACCTCATATGCTCCAATCTCAAACAATACAATACCCATTTTCCCATTGTTTCCGTCGATCTCATTTTGATTTGTGATTATGTATCAATTTTAAATAGTAAATAACAATCCTAATTAAATAATCAAGACAAATCGACACAACGATTTTAACATGGAAAAAACACAATTGGAGCGCCTCTAATTGTGATAAAAAATCACAGGCTAAAGTCACAAAATAATCCACTAAGAAGACATAAAAGAATTACATAAGTGTACTTTCAATTATCCAGCGAATCCACGCCTAAATTGAACCGACCCCTATATGCCTCTTCCACCACGGTCTTCACCTCGGAATTGTCTTGCCTAACGTTGAATCCACAACGTTGATGTCGAATCCACGACAATGAGCCACTCCAAAATCTACCAAAACTTTAGGCCCAAATTTCACGAAATCCACCGAAGAACAACTCTCTTTTTTGTTTTGAATAAATAGAACAAACAAACCATTGGATATAATCCACTCAATTCATGATTAAACTTTCACAAATATCAAAGGAAACAAGCAAAGAAACTCCAGAAAAAAATCCTAATACCCAAAAAGAAGATCTGGCAGCCCTACCCTAAAAACGGATTAAAACACATATTTATAGAAAACAGATCTGCGATCTCTACTCGAGCTGGCTCGAGCGCAAGAATGACCGCTTGAACGGAAGAAAACAACTCCCAATACTTTTGCAGGCACGTGAAACTTCTGAAAGGTCGCGATCCCCGCTCGAGCAGACAAACAATTTCGATTACAATTTTACGTTTTTGCTTTGGGGGCACTACCCCTCGACCCTGCCTGGGTTCTAGTGTCACTCACCACTATGCAGTTATTATATACACGGAATCGCATACAAGCAGAAAGTATTTGTAGTTATGCTAGGCTAGACCCATTGTGGTGTTAACTCTGGTCTCCACTTAAAAATGAAATGTGCATGGTTTTCCATCGTGGCACCACTAATGAATTCTCTTATGGAACAACCATTATAGTCCAAAATTTTCTCTATTCGCTTCAAGTAATTTATTGAGATAATAGTTCCAGTACCCCCTCCTCCGTATTATTCTATGTATATATTTCTGTCTCTTTATGTATCACTATTTGTTGTGAATGTGGTTTTGCTAACATTGCGGCCATCTATGATTATTGTAGTCTTACAAGGAAGACGATTATGGTGTACTATAAAAGAAACTTAGATGTAATTCTTTCAGTCAGGCAGTTGTAAAGATAAAGAAATGCAACATTTTCTAGTTATTTTTGTGCCTTTAGACGTGAAATTTCTAATAGTATGCACTAATTGTTCTTTAATTTTTAATACATAAGCCAGTTCAAACTGCATTACTTTGTCGCACTATGAATCTTGAATCTTGGGTAACTTGTAAGATTGCAATTATGTCTTCAGTTGTTGTCTCTAGAATATTATCCACTTTATACACGATTATGGGATTTTTTTTTTTAATATATTTTCTTTGGTATAAATCCTTTGGCTATTTAAGAGCCTTGAATTTATTTTATTCTCAATCATAGAAGCTTTTGTTTATTTAGTTATTTATTTTTACTATAAATTTTGTAATTATTAAGTAATATCACTCTCACTATAGTTTAATTTTGTTCATTATTATTCTAAACTATAAATTCTATTTAAAAAAACAAAAGTGATTGGTAGCTCGAATTTGAGCCCCCCGAATCCCCCCCGAATTCAAAAACGACGTCGTTTTCATTGTTTTTGAATTTTTTTTTTTTTTTTTTTTTTTCCAGAAGAAGAAAATTAGAAGAAGAGAAGGAAGAAGAAAGAAGGAGAAGAAGAAGAGAAGGAAGAAGAAGAAGAAGAAGAAGAAGAAAGAGAAGAAGAAGAAGAACTGGATTGGAGGGGCCAACAAAATCGGGCTGGAGGCGGAGGCGGAGGCGGAGGCGGAGGTAGAGGCGGGGGGCGGAGGCGTGGGGTCAGGGGGGGCGGGGGGCGGAGGCAGAGGCGGAGGCGACGGCGGGGCTGCGACGAGCTGCGACGAGGCGACAGCGGGGCGACGATCGGGCGGAGGGGCTGCCATCTCTTCCCCTCTCTTCCTCCTCTTCCCCTCTCTTCTCTTTCTCTCCTCTTCTATCTGATTCGGGGGATTCAGAGGGGCTCAAATTCGGGGAAAAAAACATTTTCCTTAAAAAAAATAACTAGAATTAATAGGTTTGTTTATGTTTTAAACTAGCGGCCTGGGCACATGTGATGCGTGTGCAATTTTCTTTTAGAATTATAATATGAATTTCATATTATTTTTTCAAATAATATAAATACAAAAAATAAATAATAGTCTATTAATATAAATAATAAAAAATCCAAAATAATTTTAAAAATTAAGAAATAAATTGTAAACACATAAACACAAATGTTGATATAAACCAAGAAAAATAATAATCATTTTTTTTTTTATGAAACATTTCATTTTCTATAAATTTTTTTTTATGGAAAGTATGATTAACAGTATTACACAAAAAAATACAAAAAAATAAAATAAAATCCAAGACACTCATTTTATATGATTTTTTGAAAATTAAAAAAGCAAACATCCCGAAAAACTCATATTTTGGTATGTAAATTCTGTAATTTTTGAAAAAATGAAAAATTCAAATTATCAATTTGTTGGTTATGTTGACTGAAAAACATTAATTAAAAAATCGTATTACATATATATAATATGACGTGAATTTTAGGCTCATATTTTTATGAAAATTTGTTTCGTTTTTTTTTTTACCATATAAAAGTTCAATAAAAATAACTAGAACTAATAGGTTTGTTTATGTTTTGAATATTCTCAATGATTGTTTATTATTATTTTTTTTGGTATAATTTTTTTTTGGGGAATAAATTTTGTAATTGTTTAAGAATTTTGAATTTGTTTTTTTTTATTATATATATATATATATATATATTGGTATAAATTCTTTGGCTATTTAAGAGCCTTGAATTTATTTTATTCTCGGTCATAGAAGCTTTTGTTTATTTCGTTATTTATTTTTGCTATAAATTCTGTAATTATTAAGTAATAAACCAAGTAAACCAAGAAACCAAGAAAAATACTAATCAATTTTTTTTTTTATATTTTAAAAAACTGATAACATAATGAAACATTTCATTTCTATAATTTTTTTTTTTATAGAAAGTATGATTAACAGTATTACACAAAAACATACAAAAAATAAAATAAAAATCCAAGTCACTCAT